CGAGCTCCTTGACAAAGCGGAACTTAATTGTTCCTTTACTAGATCGGTGAAAGCACATTCACCCAGACATACATATATTTGAAGAAAGGATGTTCTTTAAGACAAAAAGGTAAATTTAATCAGTGGAATTTCGAGACCGGTTCCCCAGCTCGTCTTCGTTTCGAAAATCCAGTGATTAAATTTACTTTTTATCACAAAGAACGCTTTTTCTTCAAATTAAAATTCTTAGGATGCACGAGTTTCAACAGAAATATATGATTTTACTTAGCTTAAGACATGTGAAGTTTGTAGTTTATAAGGCCCGAATACAAAGTTTGGGTTCAAAAATTATTCAGGAATTTTTTTAAATAAAACGAGAGCTCCTTAAGTGTTGTATGACTATCGGTTTCGATGACCATGTGCTCAAGAGCAGAGACGTTAATGGAGCTAAGTACGAGACTTTAGTGAAATAGACGCGCAACTGTCTACCTCAATGCGGTCTGGTTGTGCATGGAGGAAATTTTAGCCTAATATGCAGTCGTAACCTATATAGGGAGTTTTTAGTAAGCTGAATGGTTACAGAAACGTGTATTTTAATACTAGCTGAAGAGCTACCGTGCATCAACAAGTAGGCAATTACAAGAAGACGTAGTTTACTATAAAGGCAGCTCGTTCAGAAACTCGCATCTTAACGCCAATGGAATTACCTTGAGTAAATTACCATTCAACGCAAGTAATCCTTTCTAATTGAAAAGACCTTTTTCGGAAGTTCGGGTAGTCACTTCACGAGATACCTCATGCAAGATGTAAAAGGCAATAACATTCTTATCACTAAAAAACGCAAGTGCCGAAAATACCTGTCCATCCACGGAGGTAGTGTAACCATTCACCAGCGGTGTGACTTCGAGGACACAAAAAGATCGTCTGGAAAGCAGGTGAACTAGACGTAGCAGGCCCTCCTCCGAGTGGAATTCGTCCAGATGACATCCAAGCACTAGCAAGTCACAGGCCTCTCCTCCAAGGCTATCCACCAGCTGGTAGACCTGTCGCAGAGTCATGCAGAGGTCGAGCAGACTACTGATGTCGTCCACAATAAGTGAGTAGTCAAGACCGGTGGTCTGTCTTCCGCTATTGACTACTCGTTCTCGGAATTCCTTTATCTACAAAGAAGAGTGGGTGGGGGAAGGAAGGTAATGCCAAATACAAGCGAGGAAGCAGATGTGACGGCTGGATGGATGGATGGCGATGTCAGTTTCCAAGTTGCGACTCATTCGACGAGTTCCGGCCACACATTCAAATTTGATGGGGTGACTATCAGGTTAGTCGCGAGTTACTTGAGTCATGGTTCACGGGCCCCCAGCCTATGAACAAGTGCAATTACCCGCCCAATCCATACTCGGTACTGAGACTCAATTTGGCCAAAGCTATTTGGCCAAAGCAATTTGGCCAAAGCACCAGCGACAGATGGCCGAGAAATCACCACGTCCAAATGCAGTACGGGCTATGTAGTTTCAGCAGTTCACGATCCTCACGGCGGTCATCAGGCAATTAGCACACACGCGGGCAAATATACTTGATCGGAGGAGCCCTTAATTGTCATAAGTTTGCAGTAGCATAGCGACTGTATCCTATAAATACTGCACAACTCCCTGCGTAGAAATTATTTGTTTTTGCCATTGTATCTGATGATGGATTCACGACGGATTTCGAAACGTCAGGCAAACAAAATTATTGTCCCAGTGATCACATCGACTTCTTCTCTCATCGTTACCGACCATCCAAATGCTCTTGTGGGATAAAATTTCATGTACGAGCCATAATGGTCCCACTGGCCTACATTGATCGTGACACATCTCCTATGTAACAAAAGACATTAATTATATTACTCGTGATTAGCGAGTAGGCATGTTTTTATTACTACTTCGACTACTGTTGGGCCCTCATTAGGAACATGTAATTTGCGTACTTTTTTAATTTTTCTTTGCATCCATATACTTCCTATCATCTTGCTACTAATAGGGATTTGAAAGGCGTTCGCCTATCTTTCCCTCAACAAACTGATACTGTGAGTAATAGATAGAGAAGGTGAAGGCACTTCGATCACCGGAATCATAGTTTTATTCGTCTGTGAGTAATTCCAAACTGTAAAGAACACTTACAAAATTAATGCAGCATTTTTATTGCTTCTTAGACACCTTTATTAATCACATAATATATATGCATTCGTATGCTCATTTGGTAGTGAATTGTATCTGTTTCGAACCTTAAGCTTGAAGAAATAATATGCTTCGGTTTTAGAAGAACCTTTCCAACGCTCGAAGACGTATGAACTCGATCTGTCGTTACAAATAAATACAAGTTACCCCAACTACATCATGTGAGCATCGTACATTATTCAAAAAATTGTAATTTATACGAAATACGTTGCATATTTTATAAACGGGCCTAATAAATGGGCAGATATGGTGCCTTATGAAAGGAGATTTCACAGTCTTAAAATAAGAAATTATCTAAACAAACGAAGCATACTCCTTCTTCAAGGCGTAATGCGTTACAAAATAACTACGAGGAGTAATACTATCTGTTCATGCTTTCTGACAAATATATTGAAAGTTACAAGAGTATCGAAAATCGATATACAAAATGCATACAAACATAAGTAGTCCGTTTTGCGTATTGTTATTTCCTCGGGCGGCCAGGACGGATTTTGTTCATATGAAAACCGAAACCCGGAGCTCACTCAAACATCCTGGGATTATGTTGCACGATAATAATAATAATTTCAACGCTACTTAGCTAATGATTTCAAATCAAAAGATCCGCTTCAGAGGTTCGGTGAACATTTCAGTACTGTGGGAAACCGGTCGACTAGCCCGCCGACTCAGACGATGTGCACCGCGTGCCTTAGCTAGCTGAAGGCAAACATGGTGATTTGCACGTGGATAAATTTTACGTGGAAGTAGACTTGCGCGGCATACTATACTAGGCATATCAATATAGTATACTATATTATACTATATAATATACTACTATTATACTATATATACTATACCCGCCCCCCCACCTTCTTCTTCCTTACCCTTGGGACATGATGAACACGATGACATATTTGGACCCCACATCTTTCGGCATTTAAATATACTATACTGTATTGCTGATAGAAGCAAAGATGCAAGTTCCTGGGCATAGATGAGAAGAAAGAGCGATCTCGGGAACCATAATTGTAATTTCCTAGGGTAACAGCTAAAGTCGGGAAGGATACTGGACACGGCTGAACAAGAACACCAACCTGGAGCAAAAGCTGGTGCCAATGCGGGGCGGTTAACCGCTCCATGGCACGAAGAAAAAAACCCGACGGACGGACCCCAGAGTCACCTCCGTCACCCGCAGGCAGTACAGTAGTCGCCGGTTATTAAGC